GGATCAGGAGGAGTATTGCTCGGGACTTTCACAACTCACCCGAGATGGCACAGGCAAGGAGCTCACTGAGAATGAACGATCTCAGACTCGTGCGGTGCTGGGTGCAGTGCAGTGGCGAGTTTATCAGAGTGGACCTCAGCATGCCGCAAAGCTGAGCCACCTCCAGAGTGTGCTCCCGAGAGGAGACAGCACCGTCTTGGGCGAGGTCAACAAGCTTGTCCGCGAGGTCTATGGCCAGAAAGACACCGCCCTGCGGATCTTTAACCTGAATGCGAAAAAGGAGGACGACCTGGTGGTTGTTGGATGGTCAGACGCGGCGCTTGCCAACCGAGTGGATCTGGGATCAACGGGAGGCTACATGATCGGCATGTGTCATGCAAGCATGCTTGATGGAGTTCGTGGACCGGTGAGCCTGATCAGCTGGTCCTCAACGAGACTCAAGCGAGTTTGTCGGTCGAGCCTCAGCGCTGAGACCCAAGCATTGGCGGCGACTGAGCAGGAGGTGATGTTCATCCGGACTCAGTGGTTCGAGATGAGTGGGTTCCCCGTGGACCTGGCCAAGCCGGAGGAGTGCACGAAGAAGACAAAAGGGGTGCTGGTCGTGGATGCGAAGGCACTGTATGACGCGGCCAGCAACGGCAAGATCCAGACATCAGCCTTCAGCATGCGGGAGAAGTACACCGCGCTCGAGCTACTGGGACTGGTGGAGAACATGGGCCGCCAGGACACGCAGATGAGGTGGTGCGACAGCGACGCCGAATTGGCAGATGGGCTGACCAAGCCGAGCGCACAGGACAGAGTGCGGAAGTTTCTCCAGGCTGGGCAGCTGTGGAATCTGGTGCATGACGAGAAGTTCGTCAGCGCCAAGAAGAAGAAACAAGCACTTCTTCGAGGCGAAGGAGAAGAAGATGGAGCGGAACTCAGAGACCGCTCATGGCGAGAACTCGTGAGACGCTAGCTCATGTCTCTTTCGGCAACAGCCTTTGGGGCATGTGAAGTTCTCAGCCTCATGTGTGTGAGCCTGTTGTGTTTGCCTACAGAGCCACAACCTTGCACACGCTGTTCGCCGTTTTGGTCCGAGGGATCCCTTTAGCCATTTGGTCACTGTACATTTGCTCAGGGCACCTGAGCTTGCAATGGAGTGAGAAAAGAGCGGCAAGGCCACTTGCTGGTTGCTTGGGGTTGCACTAAACCCCCGGGAGCTCTTAGGCTCCAACGTTCTGTGACGGGGTGATGGTGGAAGTTCGCAATTGTTCACGAAGCTTGAGCAGCCAGGCGATTTGCAAGCTCCAACCCAGAAGCAGCGCCAAGAGGCGCGCACTTGACCATCGCTGCAGTGGAATCAACGGCGGGATGTTTGTTGCATGAAAGTACTTGGGATATGTACTGGTTGATGGTTGTTCAACTTATGACTGCGGAGGTTATAGTGGGCTGAAGCGACGATGTCCTTTGACATCCCAGAAAGTACCCCGCTGGGCAACGCAGAGATCCGCGAGCAGTCACAGGGTTGGCCTCGTGGAGGACGCGCTGGTGGCTTGTAGTATTGCAGAAAATTGCCAGCACTTGTCGACTTCTTGGTCCATGACTCTCACGTGGGTGGCAGGACTGGCTGAAAGATGCCCAAGGCTTGGGGGGCCATGCGGGTCATGTTCATGAAACTCCTTTGCCGCCTTCCGCCCAAGAGTTGACTCTATGATGCAATGGCTTCGTCCTGGTTCGCATCGCCCGGATCTGCATGATTTGCATGCTCAGCTGGCTCAAGGGTGGTGCTGAGACGCTCGCCCAGCCATGGACTTCGCTGAAGAGTCGGAGAACGTCTCCTTGGTCCGCATCCTGGCAGATGTGCAGGCCTTGTTGGCGGCCCCAGCCTCAGGCCAATCTCGATACCCTGTGCCGGGTGCAATCAGTAGGGCTCGTGCTGAGGCGCAGCGCCGCATTGAGTGGAAGCTCACTGGTCTCTCAAAGGCTCAACTTGCAGTGAACGACACCCTCGAGGATTTCCGGCAGGAGCGGGAGAAATCGGAGAAACATGCGTCCTTCCTGAGAACTTGAAGTCACTCTAGGACTCCCCCGAAAGTCTCAGAGGGCATAGGGCATATGGTAGGACCTTCGAGATGTCCGGAATCGCTTGGCTGGTGGGTTGGATGCTCGGGCTGAGTGTGAGTTGCGTTTGGGCCTGAGCCATTCGGCGCCCAGACCTGGTAGCCCTGTGGACGACAAAAGTGGGGGAGCTCAGATGAGAAGCTGATGTTGGGAGCATTCGGTGAAGATGGTGAGATTCGTTGACGCGCCCAAGTTGACAAGTCAAGACTTTCAATCCCCAAGGTCGCCAGAGGTCTCAGTCGCGCACAGCACTCGCCATCCGGAGCTTGTCGAGGTGTGGCATTGAGATTGGGGTAGCTCCATTCAATTCAATGAATGCAAGCATTCAGTTGCGCCAGAAGCAAGTCGATGACTGGGCAGAACAGCACCGAACAAGGTGCACAGGCGCATTGCCGCATTGCTGTGCACTAGCCGCTTACTGCCAGTTTGCCAGTGGAGGATGTTCCAAGTCCAGAAGCCAAAGCACGGCAACGTCCACCACAGCTAGAGCTTGAGACGGAGAAGGGGGTCTTGGCTGAGCCCGCAAGGACGGGCTAAGGTTCGAAATGCGTGAAAGTTGCTGCATCGTGTCGCAGAGCTCGAGGAGCTCGACAAGCAGAAGCCCCAAGACTCAGGAGCCACACCAGGCGCTGGACATTTGGGAAAATCGGAGAATCGGAGCATGATGTCCGGAAATCAATCCAATGCGCTCAGGAGGAGGTACTTCGGCTGCGCCGAGCCGATGGAAGAGTTTTCTCACAAGTTGGGAGGCAGAGACTATTCTTGCTAGGTGAGTTTCCTCAATGACATGGTTTGAGGTGGAAGAAGAGCTGGGGCTCGGCAAAGACATGGACATCTTGCAGACTTCCTGGCATTGATGTCAAGGCAAACCGCCACGTCAAAAGAGAGATACAAAGAGCTCCTTGGGCTGGCTCCTGGACACACCCGTGGTGGCCATGGAACAGTAACAATGGTAAATATCGGTAAGACATGCTTTCGGCATGACCGTCGTTGGATCATTGGAGCAAATGACTCGAAGGGTTTTTTCAAGGGCACGACACATCTTTGGAGTTTTCGACGCCGGTCGGAATTTCACTCGCAGGGAGAGGCGGCGGGCGGAGCCCTGGAGCGGCTGCTGCAGGGCCGGCTTCGGGCCATCTCGAAGGGTGTGGTCCTCACGGGCAACTCCGAAGAGGCGAATGGGGCCAGCGAGAGCGCAAGAAAAGTTGAGAGAGAGAGCAAAGACAACAGACATGGAGTAGAATCAATTGCTTTGCTCTCAAGAGGGCCAATTGCTTGTCCTTCGGCACTTGGCAAGCCAGGCCACAGCAGTCCGAGAACAGCGCCGTTTGGGCATGACGAACGTGATAAAGTGACCAAAACGCGGTTCACAGTGCTTCACAGTGTGGCAGGGAGCGATCCGGCAGGTACAATCAGATGCTTTTCGATGCATTGTTGGACAGCAACTTTAGAGTTCCCAGAGAGTGCGGGTCCCGCCATAGGTGTCACAGGCCTTGTGCCTCAAACGCGCTTCAGGTGCATAGCTGCTGCTGCTGGGAGCTTCACAACACCTTACAAAGCTCGAGCACCTGTTGGCGTTCCGAAAGAGGAGCCGGGAGACGGGTGGTGAGATCGGCATTTGATCCTCTCGAGGAGTTGAAGTACTGAAGCAGGAACCAATTGGGCGCTTGAACTGGGGAGAATTGACATTCTGCCTGCCTTTTGTGTGTTTTGCATGTTTTTGCAACTTCGCAACTCTGCCTCTTGTGTTTCGGCATTCCCGTTGGCTATTGGCCAGGACCTCATTGCACTGTGGTGGGAGGGGGAGGTCATCCTGTACTCATGGCTGACGCCGGAGGAGATCAAGACACCCCGACAGGTGTTGTGCGGCGGGCGGCCCAAGAAGTTGACAGCTTCGGTCACATGTAACTTGTTGTATCTTGGCGTTTGGTGGCCTTTTCGCCAGTCACTTCGCGAGCACCGATGGCGACGTGCTGCTCAGACGTGCCGACTCGCTTCATCTTTTGAAGCCAGGATCAGTATGTATCAGTGATATGTGATGGTCGTGATAGTCATTGGCTTCGTGCGGAGCTGGGGGTATGCTGCGTGTGCACACTTTGCACAGCACCATGGCCATGCAGCCAGGCCAGTGGATCGCATCATGCGTGGTGAATGAAGAAGCCCTGCAGAAGCTAGTGAGCTTGTGAGAGGATTGAGTTTCACCGCACGGGATCTCGCACGGATTTTGTGCCAGTGGCCAAAGAAGTTGACCTACCCTTCGCAGCAGGTTCTGTCAAGCGAACTTTTTGTGGGCACTGAGCCGCTGTTTGTGCCGGCCTTTGCATTATGGGCTTTATGCCTTGGAAAGAAGCCAAGGAGCCGCGACAAAGGTCGCGTTGTAATTCTGTCGCTCTTGCCATGGCGTATCTTGGGCATGGCAGAAGTCATGCACTTGTTCGCATGCTGTCCGTGCGGCACCACCTCGAATGCCTCATGCATTTGGCACATCCATCAGACATGTTCAGACCTTTCAGATGGTCTCGGCCAGCGCTGGAGCCGCACTGACCATGCAAGGGCGCAAGGCACAACAGCACAAAACTTCTCCGGTCCGGAGAAAAGACGTGCTTCTTCGCGGCAACGCAAAGGCCCCAAAGCCCCAAAGGCCCAAGGCCTCAAACCCGGAAGCTCACAGGAAAGGGCTGCAATGCGTGCAGGCACAGAAGGACTGCACGACTTCGAAGCTTTGAGACGAAGAAGGGCTGAGAGCCTCAGAGCCCTAGGCTTCTTAGCCGAAAGACTCGAAAGACACTTGGATGTTGAATGATGTCGACAGCGTGAAAAAGTGCATGGGACATTTGGGACGTGGCGCATGGCTTCGAGAACCGTAAGAGCGGCGCTGGCAGTGAAACCCATCGCAGGTGTTTGGAATGCCTGGAATGCCGATATCTCCGGGGCAGGCGGGCAGGCCTTCATGTCACCATCCCCAAAGCCTCAGCCTGGGCCCTGTGAGGCGCAGAAGGCCGGAAAACCTGCAGGTACGACGGTACGCGTGCCTGTCAGTTGCACCTTGTATCAGGGCAAGCCACACCTTGCTTCTCCCGCAACTTGGCAAATTGCAATCGCAACGGGTGCGATTGAGAGATTGCGAGATTGCGATCGGCGCAGTTTTTGGAGATCCCGAGGCAAGCCCTGCTAGACATGGAGATGCACCCGAGTCTGGGTGTCAGCCTTGGCCGCCTCGGAAGTTGAGCTCGAGCCATGTCGAGAGGGGCCTTATTGACCTGGCGGAGAGCATCCTCTTGTCGAAGAGAGGTGGGGACGGGCGGGTGTGGCTGAGATCTGCGCGCATTTGCGCGCATGCCGCAAGGTCCAGGCTCGGTGGCGCCTCTCTATGGGGACGACACCTTGGAAATCATGGCTGACCAGAAACAGTTAGATGAGGCCCCGAGCCATCGGTCACACTTGGTCACACACGATGACCGTTGCGAGTCCGTTGCGTACGCTCAGATGGACAACGAGATTTGCGAGCCGCTGAACCAGTTCGATGATGACCTTAAAGATCTTATGATGGACGTTATCACGGAGAAGGACCAACATTGACAGGCCACTATTTGCTTAGCTTATTTTTTGATGCTGCGAGGTTCGCCGCATTCTGTCCCTCGACCCTTCCAAGTACAAGAACGGCAGGCTGCCCTTCGGCCTCAAGCCCCACAAGGCAGACACATGAGAGAGCGGGTTTGGACGTGTTTGAAAATATGCGCTGATATGCGCTGATGGTTGCGGACTTGTTCGGATTCGCGGCACCTGCCGAGCCAGGGCCTGAACTTGGGTGAAGAAGTTGACCTTGAGGCCGCTTTGGTAGCCGAGAGGGGCTGAATGCGCTTTGCGTGGCTCCATTTGGATCCCAAGGAGGAGTTGGAGAAACTCCAAGACATGGTGGACCGGTTGAAGGAGGAGAACGAGCAGCTGAACAGACAGCTCGAGGTGTTATAGGGAGAGAGGGAGAGAGAGAAGAGAGAGAGAGAGAGAGAAGGAGAGAGAGCGGGACGGCGCTTTGAAGGCAACGCTTGCCACAGGCTGCTCGTGCAGCTGCGGACCGGTGGAAGCAAAAGTATATGGAGTTGAAAGATGCTCCGCCTCCGGAGGCGATCTGTGCAACTGGCTAGTCTTTAAGGATGTAAACCGCAAGTGGCAGGCACAGACCATCACCAGAACCCAAACCTCGAGACCCCCTTCGCAGCCAGCTCCTCGCCTGAGTGGGACTTGGCATGGCCTATTGGCTGAGGCAGACGGACAAGCCAAAGGAGAAGGTGGAGCCCCCACCCGAGCCGGTCATCAAAGGCCTGTCCCAGGCAGAAGTGGATAAGCTTCTAGAAGAGCAAGACAAGGCCTGGCGTGGCATGGCGTGTCGGCATGGCGCGACCCCGCAGATCCAGGCGCACAGGGCAAAGGTGGCTGCCCTGGAAAAGCGAATCAAAATGCTAGAAGATGAGATCAAGAAGCTCAAGGCCAAAGAAACAAGAAGCTGCCCGAGTGTACCTTGCTTAAAGAGTGAGCGGAGTTCACAAGGAAGCACTGGATGCGGCCTCGAAAGCAGAAGCCGCCGCAAAAGGTAAGAAACCCAAGAAGGCGCCGGAAATTCTTAGGTCCTTTGCGCACTGTGTCACTGCACGGCAAGGACGTCGAGAAGACTGAAGCCGCTGCAAAGCCGGAGCCCGTGCATGTCGAAGACCAGCCCAAGGAGCTTTGACTGTGCTGACATTTATGTGACATCACTGACATCACTGACATAACTGACACTCATTGCCGAGCCACACGCGCGGTTCTGCCGGTCCCTGTTTGCCTGGCATCTCGACCCAATCTCGTCCCAGGAGCCAACCAAGCCAAAGGAGGACCCGAACGACGCGGTGCCGGTCTAAACTTTCCCTGTCTGATTTTGCATGGACATGGATCAACAATGATCCATGTTTGCATTTCAACATTGGAGACATGTTTGCGCTGACGGTCCGCCAATGTGTGAGCTGTATGCTTCTGTATGCTTGTTGCAGCTGGCTTTGGATCAAACCGGCCGGCCAAGAGGCCCTTTTGAACAGAGGATCAACTGAATCGATTGAGCGCTGCCAGTTCCAAGAGGCGGGGATGGATTTTGGTGCTGTGACTGTGCCTAGGGAAAGTTTCTGAAAAGCAGTTCTGGGGCTTGAGATTCAACGTTGGAGAAAGTGTCTCAGTGGATGCGGTTGAGAACGGCAGTGCGAGCTCCTGATCAAGAGTTCAGCTTTAAGGAAGGTGCGTCGAGATTGCGTTGAGCCATTTGCGTGGTCAGATGTTGGACTGGCTGCTGCCTGTGCAACTTTCGGGGCATGACGCTGGCTCTTGCCTCAGGGCTTTCCCTTCGGTGCGCTTCACGCGCTTTGTACACTTGACTAGCGGTGCCGCGGTGTGTGTTCCGCGCCGAGGTTGCGCAGCACTGCGGCGTCCGCTCTTCATGGACCTCTTTGCTGCAGCGGATCCTTGCTCAGAGCAAGCTTGAGTTCCTTTGGCGACACCAAACATGAGAGGTTGTCTCCTTTGTCATCTCGGGGCTGCTTGCTGCCGCTACTGACTTCATTCCCTGGAAGCTCCGGGACCTGCCGCCGCGGGGATTCCCACAAGTTTGCTTGACGTGGACATGTGTCAGAAGAGACTGAAGTTCTTACTCGCTTTCTCGCTTAACCTTGCGGATCTTCCAAGGGCCATGAGGTGGCGGGCACGCGCCACCGTCGCATCACTGCCGCGCCCCGAGTTGGCCACTGGGCCTCTTGGGTGTCTTGGGCCTCTTGAGCATCCTGGGCCGGGGGGTTTGGCAATTGGCGCAATGGGCGCAATTGGCGCATTTGGCTTCAAGGCATCAGCCACTGGGCGTGATATACTTCTTGCCAGCGCGGCAAGCACTGGATATCTTTTTCGTAGGCTCCAAGCTAAGACCAGGTCAGCGTGGGTCAGTGGTCTGCGAAGTTCCAAGGCAGCAACCCTTGGACGGTGAGCGCACCACACAACCTTTGGTTGACTTTGTGGGCACCTGAGATTGACAGAGTTTCTCGGATGGGCCGCTAGGCCACTAGGCCACTAGGCTATTAGGCCACTCCACTTGGGTTGAGGTTCTACTTGCTGGGAGCGTGGTTCTTTGAGCTCCTAGCCTGCGCCTCAAAGCGTACGACTAAAGGCTGCATTGACATGCCTACCATGCCCAATGCCCATTGCAAATATTGCATTGCAAATATTGCCCCGCCCAGCCGCCAAGCCCACATTCATGGCGTTGGACTCAACACGCTCTCAAGCGGACTTGGGCTGAGATCCTTTTGCATCCTTCCACGGATTCCATGAAATCCTACGGGAAGCGCGGCTGGTCGGCCGCGACCCCAGTTGAACGGGTCAATTGGCATTTCAACTGCCCCTTTGGCCAGTTGACGCCCGGGTTTGCGGCGATTTGCGACTTGCGACTCCGAGAGAGTTGTTAGGTGCAGGTGGCTCACCACCTGGGCTTCCCCGCCTTTGCCTTGCACAACATCATCAGCGGCTGCGCGGTGCCAGGCGCAGAAGCACAGAAGCTAAAGAGGCTAAAGAGTTCAGTGAGCGTGACATGTAGGGACTGTGGTGGCCTGCTACACCGAGCTGACGATCTTTTTCACCAGCTCCTACTGGATCGCCAAAATGGCTGGCGTGGGCGACATGCTGCTCCTTCCAGTCAAATTTGGCATGGTGGCATCTACTCTCGCCTTCTTCTCAGCTTGCAGATTCAAATTGGTGCCGCGAAAGGGACAGATTCTGAGGTTTTGAGAGGTGCTTTCGTTCTTCTTCTTGACTTTCGCGCGGTCTTCAACGACCAGTCTGCGCTTCCCTATGCAAGTTGGCTGGTACAGGCACACGATTCTAACTTTGCCATCCATGAAAGAATTTGTTCGTGAAGATAGTGCGGTTCCAAATTCTCCGCAGTGTTTCTGACCCGCAGTGTTTCGCGCTGATCGGCATGAACGTGCTTAACCTGCTGATCCTTCGACTTGTGCAAGGAGCCGTAATGCGCTCTAGCAAGGCACGGGACTGTGATGGGCAAATAGCAATGAGTCACAACTGGTTGGACCAGAGTTTCCGGTGTCAACTTCGGTTTAATTCGGAGGACAGCAGTCAAGGAGTGCGCGAAAATGGCTCCATTGCCCACTTAAAGGGAACCGCCCGTAGGCCTCTGTGTTCGCCCTGTCCAGATGAATCCAAAGATGACCTTCAGGTGGGTGATGGCCCACCCCTCAGCAACTACGTGGAGGCTGTAGCCAAGTTTGTGCTGGCCCCGGTCAGCCAGTCATGATTCGGTCCGTTGTCCAGAAGCTCGAGCAAGGCGCTGATGTACCTTGGGCCAATGGCTTCCGAGCGCGTCCTCCAGCAGCTGCAAGAAACGGTGGGGTTGCAGGGGATGTGTTCCACATGCCAAGAAGCCAGTTTGCCGTGTCACTTACTGCCAGGAGACAGAAAGAGGTCCAGGCACAGTTTCCAGACTGGCCAGGCCATTTTGACTGTCCTGGAAGGGAGGGACCAGCCGGGCTGTCAGGTTCTTTGGGCCACAGCATGCGTTGGACGAGCCAGAAGCGGAGGCCAGTTCAGACTGCGCGCGTCGCGTCATCGCTTCATCGCTGAGGCGGCTCCATCGCCAGGCGAGCATTTGGGGCTTTGGTTTTTGTTTGTTTGCGCGCACCGAGGTGCATCTGAGCCAGAGAGCTGTCACGAGGACAAGGAGAAGATGTCAGAGCCTGAAGCGGAAGTCGCGGAAGTCGCAGAAGGGGCGCAAGGGGCACGGCTTGTGAAGTGGCTTGCCAGGCTGGGCAGGCTTCGGCCTGTCTGGCCTGAAACCAGTCCACTAGACCAAGGCTTGGCCTGATGACTAAAATCGCAGCTGAATGCGCTGGCTTCAAGGTTGAGGCTGCACGCACGAGTGCCAATGAGTGCCAACGAATGCCAATGAGTGCCAATGAGTGCGTGCCAACTGTATAGGCGGATCGGCCTCTCTTGGACTCGGGCATGGACTCCAAAGCTGCAGTGCAGTTCAGCAATAGGCGGGCACTTTTTCAGAGTCTCATGCAACTTGAGGCTCGTTTAAGTGCGGTCAGGCTCGCCTCAGAGCTTCCAGGACTCCGGCTGCCCAGCACCCTCGTTTTCGATTACCCCACTCTCTCTGCTTTGCCCTCAGCGCTCCACATGTCTTTCATTGCAACACGTGGCAAGACATGTCTTTTATGCCGCAGGCCGTGGCTGGCTATGCGGCTGACACGAAGCCGAAGCGCAGCGCCGTCGCCACGCGCGAGTCTCCGGCCGACGAGCCTATGGCCGTCATCGGCACTGCCTGTGCATTTCCAGGCGAAAGCTTTCAGTGGGTCTAAGGCTAAGAGAACGCGAAGATATGAAGCGGATATAAAGCTAGGATAGTCTTGGTGCGAAGCTTCTTCTCGCTGGTTTGTCAGGTGGTGCGAGCAGTCCAGCAAAATTTGGATCTTTGCTGGCGCTTGGTACTGATGGCATCGTGGAGGCTTTGGGCTGGGCTGCATACGCTGTGTGCGTGTGCGCGTTCGGATTTGAGCTGTTCGCTCTACGTGAGCACAGGTTCCATTTACCCGCTGGGAGTTGGAGGAGTACTATGATCCTAATCCTGACGCGCTGGGGCCTTCCTTTGGGCGTTTCAAGTTTCAAATTCTTCACGTTTTCTGCCTTTGCATTGCTTTGCATGGTGTTTGGATGTTTTGGCCCAGGCCGGGCAAGATGTACCCGCGTCACGCGGCGTTCATTGAGGGCGCTGAGGAATTCGCTGCATCCTTCTTCAACATCTCAGCACCAGAGGCAAGCGAACCCGAATCAGACCACACCGTCCAGTGTTACATGTTACAGATGCATTTCGTGCAAGGTGCGGGCAATGGACCCGCAACAAAGGTTGGCAGCTTGCCGGCAATATCTGCACTGCTTTGCATTATTTTGCTAAGCAAGCGGCTGGTTCCAGGTGCTAGAGGTGTCACATGACTCTATGCTTGACAGCAACATGAAGCGCGAGGCAGGGGCAAGAGGGCGAGAGCCTTGCACGAGCCATGCATTCGCCATTTCCCTGCCAGTCCCTGATCGGTAGCAACACCGCTGCGATCATCGGCCTTTCCAACAACGATTGGATCCAGGTCCAAAGTGGCGACATCCGTCTGCTGCTCAGAAAGATCCCTTTCTAACCTGCGGACAGTGTTTTGCACGAGCGCATCCGTATTCACGCATCTCCAAGGCAAACTAAATCCCTACACTGCCACCGGTACATCTGCTTCAGTGGCAGCTGCACGTGCTTGGCTCGGTGTGCCAAAAGTGACTGGAACTGAGAATTTGTTCAATCGGTTCAATGCGTTCGTTGGGTGCTGATGGCAAGGAGTGGCCTTTTGTCTTGGCCTCAAGGGCCCAGCTTATGTGGTAGATACCGCCTGCTCTTCAGCCTTAGCGGGTGCCTGAGAGAGCCACGATTCGGGCACATAGCCTTTTCCAAGTCGTTCGTGTGCCTTTCAGCTTTCACATGCAGTTTTTAGCGATGACCACGGGGGAATTTGAGGTGGCAGTTGACAGCGCAGTCATGAATCTTCGGCGCGGGAGATGCAGCTTTGCCGTGAGCAGCGCTGCAAACGCTCGCGGCTCACACCTGCATCATGCGCTTGTTGCTTTGCTGTTTTCTTCATGTGCTCGTGGATTTTGCCCGCGCTTTCACTTTGCGCAGCACCTTGGGAAGAACGGTCCCTGAGGTCATTGCCAGCCCCGCCACTTTCATCAGCTTCAGCAAGCCCCGCATGCACCTGGGACCTGCCTTGTTGAACAACTTGTACTGCTGGCTTCCCCGGCCACAAGGCTTTCACCGCGCGGCCGA